ATAGATTCACTATGCCCGGCTATTCGTCCGTGTGTCTATATTTACAAAATTTTTACACTCTTTACACATTTAATTGAAAATTATTTCTGTGGCAGAAAATTGTTGGCTATTTCTCCTTCCTGGAAAGTTATTGTCCATTAAATCCTTTTAAATTACTATTTTTTGTTTATTCAATATATCGAAACTAAAACCATTTTTTAAATTCAAAAGCGAAACATCATGTGAAACATTAAAATGACAAAATGGCGTTGAAATTAACCCTTATCTTTGCCTTATCAGCCTTTTTGTTAGTCTGAAACAATTTAAAATTTATTTCTGTAGAATTTGAATTTTAGGTGCATCATATTTCCGAAACTGCAATTTTTTCTATAAAAGCAAAACGCTGACTATCATTGCCATGACATCAAAAAATGTAACTATTTATTCTTACTCAATTATTGAATGGTTGAAGTTTACTAATTCGCTTCTTTCAATTTGTTAGCTCATTCTAACTTTATGCAATAATTTAACAAACATAAGAATTATGAATTTGAATAGATTGTTACACTGTACAGTCTACGCTAACTAGATTGCTTTAAAAAATATTTTCTCTTGTTTAAAGAAAAAAATGCTACTTCAGAAACCGCTGGTTTGATCCAAATATATTTGTATTTCAGATGATTGCACGAATTTATTTCGCATGTAAAATAATTAATTCTATATACAGTGAATATGCATTAAATAAATAATGTAATTTTGTTAATGTACATACACATATATAATGACAAAATAAATTGTTATACTTAAATTTAAAATATATATTGATTAATGGTATTAACAGGGCTGGGTCTATTTATTTTTGTAAATAAGAATAGCCTTAAGCGAATTATATGTGTTACATACAAAATTAAAAGTTTTTTTGACTAAGATAAAAATGTAAACAGTTCATTTATTCAATCTTTTAAAAATAAATCAGATGTTTCCAAATTATTTTTCTCAGATACTGTATTATTCCTTATATCTACTCTTCCAATTCCATTTCATTTTCTTATTCAGTTATTTTTTTAACAGTACAACGTTTAAAAAATATTTACATCAGGCACAAATTTTTATTCAACGACTAAACAAATTTCTTGGTTGAGCACAGCAAATAAAAATTGCTTTATTGGTGCCCTACTATTCTTTTTGCTGAAGTCAACTCCTGTAAATCGAATTCATATATTGTCTGACAGTGTTAAATATTTTTTTTTTATTTTAAAAATCACTCATCACAATTTAAACTGTCTTATAACGTTAGAGCAACTTGTAATTATAACTATTATTATTATTGATTTTAAAAAGTATTTTTATTAAATGTTGTCAACATTTTACATTTTTTATGCTTGTTATAAATACTTTGAAATAGAGTTAAAAATAAGAAAATGAAAACTAATAAAAAAAAATATAAAAACAAGAAACTGAAGAAAAATAACGCTTTTAAGAGAAGTCATGGAAAAATTGCATAATTTTGCAAAAAAAAAATTTTTTTTCTTAAATAACATGAAAACTTTGGAAAATAAAACAAGAAAATGCTAGAAAAAGAAAAAACAAAAAGTTCAGTTCAGTGAAAGGTGGTGTACTTTTAAAATAACTTCTATAATTCACCCATATAACACTATTCCATTGACATAATATTATTATTTTCAGTTATTTTGTAAAGTTTTGTAATTTTTCTGAAAATCTATTTGATTTAATTGAAGATATTTGAAATATTTCTTTTGGTTTTTCTTTAATTTTATTTTTAATGCTATTTTAATGTCATTTGGCCTTCTTATGTTGTGTAGTACATTTGCGCTTATACATAATATAGTTTAGCAGCTGCACAGATAATTTTACTTAATATAGATATTTTTTATAACATGACGAGTTTCCTTCTAAGTTGTTTATGATTTTTATAAGTTAAAATAGGTTTTCTTACAATTTTTCTTTTCATTTTCTTCGAATATGATATTTTTTTTTTTAATTATAAACCAATGTGCATATATGTGGACATTATATATGTATAAATACATAATGTTTATTAAAATAAATAATATAAATAAATTTTAAAACAATTTTAGAAAAGAAATTTGGCCAACACACGTAGTATACACAATATGTCATAATATCACTATGGTGTAATTGATTTGAAAAATTGTTGTATATAACGTATGTGAGTAGGTATGTAGATAAACAGAGATTGTCAATTATTGTAATTTTGCGATATAATATTGTCAAAAATTTAAAAAATTTTTATTTAAAATATACAATTAATTTAATATAATTTTAAAATTTATAACAAATTTTTGAGAAAGTGAAATTGAAAATTTGTTGACAAAAACATAGGTTATTTAGAATTCCAGTTTGTCAGGTTGACAATTTGAAGAATTAAATTTATTATTATTTAATACGAAATATGACGTTTCCAATAATAAGCATTTCATTTTTCATTCAATTGAAAACCAGATGAAACTTAATACTGCAATTAAGTAATAATAAAAACGTTGTAACAAAAATTAAATTTAATTATTTTTATATGTAAGCTGATTCTGGAATATTATTTCTATTGAAAAAACTTTTCGGATGCTTTCAGCATATTATTATAATATGGCATCTGCTAACGTGTGCGCCAAAATACAGCCCCATTGATGTAATTTTTATACAAACAAATTAGGAAGTTAAAGAAAGATTCAATTGTATTTTTAAATTAATTTTCTTTTACAATATGATGGATGTAATTATTCTATTAAAGCAGTTAGAATCGTGAGACAAAGTTGACGTGCGTTCGATAAAATGGTTTAATTTAGAACATAAATACATTGAAATCGATCAGAAAAAGCATTTTAGAAATAGACCGGAAATGCGGTGTAATTTGTTACAATTTAAAAATTATGAAAAACTTTATAACATCAAAACTTTAAAATTAAAAAGGCCTTAGAAAATTTTATAAAAGTTAAAAGTAACTGCTTAAAAAATTGGCAAATAAGAGTCATCTGAGATATTTATTCCTTTTTTTTCATTATATATATATGTATATATGTATGTTCCTAAATTATTGCTTGGACATAGTGCTGTCAAATAGATTAGTCCAAATATTTTCATTTTTTAAAAGAAAAATTTTCATTTTGAAGATTCAATAAAAAAAATCTGCACGAACCGGTCGAGATCGATTTTGATTCAAGTTGAATTGAAAAAGGTAGGAGCCAAAATATCACGATTTCAATTCAATTAAAATCAGACAGCAAAAAGGGACTCCAAGTCCATTAATATAGAATTAATTGCAGCGGAAATTGTAGAATATCAATAGTCATGGAAGTAGCGTTACGTTAGTTTTTGGTAAATTTTTTTTTTTTTTGCGAACTTTGGAAAATATAGAAATCAGGTTGAAAAATTTCAATTCTCAAAAACTGCAGTAGCAGTAAGAAACTTTAATATTATAGATATTTTTCTATGTATAAAATTTAAAAATTTTAAAATTCTTATATTAAATTTTTGCACAAAAAGTATGATTAAAGACTTTCATTTTGAAAATAAATCTTCACTTTTGGTAGCCTTGGTGTCGCTGCTTGTATATTTTCCTCGTTTCTCTCGAGAATCATAATAACTAGTTCACCCAAGGGCTAAGCATATAAGATGGCTTGTATAATTTAATTCTTTTTGCTCATAAAATGAATAAAAATATTTTTTCAAAAGAAAATTTTGAATAATTTTTATTTTCAATTATACAATTTGTTAATTTTATAATATTTTTATAAATTTCCAATTAGTTAACGAAAAATATGCAAATATATAATATGTACATAGAATTTTTTATTGTTTTAAATTTTAATCTACAGGATATAAATTTTAAGTTTTTCAATTTGTCATTATTTAGAGATTCCGTTGTAGTGTTTTTGAATGAAAAATTTAATTGACTATTGTTTTATATTGTTCATTTTTTATTATAAATTATTTTAATAATTAATAGATATAGGTACAATGTTTTATTACTTTTTGGGGCATAAATATATTTTACTTTTTACATCAATGTAATTTAAATTATACATATTATTACTGAAAAATTCGTTCTATTGATTTAATTTTTATTTCTGAGCAATAACAGCGGCTTTATTATATTTTTCATTTATTTATACTAATTTGTGTTTCAGATTATTTTATTTAAAATTTTGGGTTAATTTGTACTAATTTTATATGTATCTATATTAATATAAATGTTATATTACATGCTGACAGATAGTTGATTTTAATTTACTATATAATTTTGCAATGATAAAATTTTATACGTGAGTGGCTACGTTTAAGATTTGAAACGAAAATTAGTAAAATTTATTTCATGATTTCAAAAAGTATTTAAATAAACCTTAATTTGCAAATTTTATACAGTAGAGCTACATTTACATAACTTTCGCATAAATAAACGTTTATTTACTTGAACACAAATTTAAACTGTTTATAATGTCAACTCTATTATAAGAATAGGCGACTTTTCTTTTGAAAAGGACCCAAATTGAGACATAAAACGTTTATCTATTAACTTATTTGAGTATCAATAATCAAATTTGGAGTTTTAATTATTTTCTGAAAGTGTGTAAAATTCATTCACATTTCATTGACATATGTATGAATTTTTTCTGACATTTATTAGTTTACATAAGCGTCACTCTACTGTACATAAAATATTTGTCTAAATATACCATAGTAAGCATTTTCAACGTAAGCATTTTTGATAACACATACAATTTTTTTATAATAATATGATATTTTTGACATTGAATAGAACCTAACAAATTATTCTAACAAAACTTACAATATTAAATAAGTTCGAAAATTTGAATATTCATTTTGTACTTTTAAGACTTCGTAAATTATTTTATCAAGATTATTATTAATACACTAAATATTTAATTTGACCAATTTCAGCTGCAATTATTAATGTTAGCCATGAAAACATTGTTTTTATTCACTATATTGTTCTTCACTTCAAATCTTTAATTTGACCAATTTCAACTGCAATTATTTTCATGGCTAACATTGTTTTTCTTCACTATAATGTTAAAACAATATTGTGATATTTATAGTTATTAAAAAAGTTAAATTATATTCTTTTCTTGCGAACAGTAAAAAATTAAAACCGTTTTAATGAAGTCCATTGAAAACTAATCTTACTCTGAATCGAGAATAAGAAAGGTTTGCTTGCTGAAATTCATATGACTGCTCATATTTTGATTAGGATTCAGAGTTTTGGAAATTATCTCTGCTTATAGAATGACGGCTTGCAAAATTAAAAAATTTAATAAATTGTTTTTGTTCCTTATTTAAACTAGCTAGCATACTAAATTTTACCATGGACAAAATCGGAGTTCTTTTAGATATCAATAAAATATGAAGTGTACAATTGAAATTCCTTATACGTTTACTAATGACACCACAACCCGATATTTATGACGGTGTTAAAAAAACGACGAAGCGAATTTGCAACAGAGATGGGTAGATTTTGGCATAGATGGGTAGAATACGTGCAATTTTTGAAAGTATCAAAACGCTATAACGGGAAACGCGTTGTTTAAAAAGTGATGTTATCTAATAGTGCCATTATGGAGAAACCTTTGTCGTTTTAACTCGTGTTTTGAATTTTGGTGTGATCTCGGAATATACATACTTAATATTGATTTTTGTAAAATTCTCGAATGTTTTTGTGTTGGATACAAAATTTTAGATTACAAAAAAACTACGCTCTTTTTCAAACTTAAAATTAAAAATTCAAGAAGAAAAGTAATTTTCTGAAAACGAAATCACTTATTGTCAAATAAATTTTTAAAACAAGTTATTTATGTTTAAATTTTAATTCATACGTATTCTATGAACAAAAAATCTAATCTTATTATTGAAATGAAAATATCATGTGAGCCATTTGTTTCTGTTTCAAAACAAAGAAAAATTATATAGTGTCCAATTAAAATTATATGAACTGTCTCAATGATGGCCCATCACATTTTTATTTTCTTTTAACAAAGATTTGATGAATATATTTCACTTTTGATTAATTTACTTTTACCGTCAATATAAACAGCCATTTCAATTTCATTTTTATTCAAAGCTTTACTACCAATATCACTATTTATCAAATTTTTATCTAACACTTTCATATTCTCATTATCCTGAGAGGAAATCTTTGTTTCTACATTATTAATGATATTATTATTGTTATTGTTATTATTATTGTTATTATTTTGACTACAATTATTTTTGTTAATATATTGAAAATTATCATTTGTCAAAAAAATATTTAATTTTTCCATTTTATTATTTTCCTGATTTATATTGAATATTTCATTACTTAATTCATTTTTAATATAATTTGTTTCTTCAATAACATTAAAATCAATATCATTATTATCATTGCCATCCGTATCATCTTCGGTATCATTTAATTTTTCTGTATCATCTTTTTTAAATACTTTATTATTATCAATATTGTTTAATGATGTTTCATCGTTTATTGTTGTGGTACAATTCCTGTTATTGTGTTTCGTTACCAAAACTTTTAATTTTGTACATACTTTCATTGCTTCACTATCATTTTGTGATATTTGATTCATTGTGGTTTCATTAGCAGTTGTCTCTTTAGTTACTTTTTTTCTCAATGTATTTCTTAACTAAAATTGTAAAAAAAATTATTGGTCTATAGCATATTTCATAAATTTAAAAAAAGTTTTATATATTGCATTTTAAACACATAGGTATAATAAATTGAAAATTACTAAGTATTTATTGACTCACTTGTGGATTCAAACCAACATATATCAATGGATTATAACATATACTAGATTTGGCAATTAATGCTGGCAGTACTGCTAATTGTGGTGATATTAAATCACTTGGACCAAATTGTTCTAATAATGCAAATATTGAATACGGTGTCCAAGCAAGCACTTTTTATATGAAAAGAAAAAGAAGAATTAAAACAAAAAAAATGTAAAAAGTTTTTAATATTAAAATTTTTTAATTTTAAAAAAGCTTTAAAATTAAATAACAACAGTATTAAAAAATTTTGTAATTCTTTCATTTTAAAGGTTTGTGCCCAAAATATGCTTTTATTCTGATATCATATCATCTCATATCATATTTACAGGTTTTCGTCTTAGATATGTGTATTGTAGAATGTAGAAAATCGCTGAGTGAAATTTTTTACATATTGTGTACTCGTAACTGTTATATATAACGTTAAATTTTGAGTTTAAAATTTTATTATAAAACAATGACTGTTATACGTTTATGACACGAGTACAACGGTTCTGTTTGCAATTTTATAAAAATTTGTTATGTTATTATAAATTTGAACATTTCAAAACATTTGAACATTTCAAGTTCCAATCCTTAAATAAAAAAACTAAATTTGTAAATTATTTCTGTTTAAAATTAATCTTGTGGAGTTGTTATTGTTTGTGTGTCATCAGTGCTGTTGTATGATTCTTCTATACATCTATTCTAAAATTTTAAACTACTGTGTGAGTAAGTGCGGTACTGTGGATTTAGAATGTTATATACTCTTGTTTGAATGCTATAAATAAAAAGGAAATCAGCACAATAACAGTTGCAGTTGGTATAATTGAGATGTCTGGGTTATATTTAGCAGCAATTTGACTAATTTTTAATTATTAAAATTTATAATTATTACATATAAAATTTAATTTAAATATAACCGTAATTTAATTTTGGATTGCCATGTCACATGTGTTTGTATTATCATCGAATTTGTTGTTTTAATCTAACTTACACATCTAAAACACTTTACTAACTTACTAAATGCAAATATCATTACAGCAACCATAATATTTATTCGTTTTTCAGCTCGATTTTTTCTTCCCAATCTTATAGCACTCTGAAATTCAAAAAACATTTATATTAATTGTTATGAAATTTGTGTATACATGTATGATTAATTTAAATACTTAAATTGTGATTATTTTTTTAAATTATTTATACAGAAGAAATTTATTTTAAATGTTTAAAACAATAAAATAAGTCAGCGATATATAATATATCTTTTTATAATCATATATCGCACCCGATAACCACCGGTTTATTGTTTGAATGGCGAATGCGAATTTTGTCAAAACATTTTATAAGGTTTATTCACTTTGACATACCAAAATGTGCCTAGTGAATTTTCTTGTAGAAAATTTCAATGTAGCATCAGTGAGAAAACGGTAGTTGACGCGTTAAACTGCAAGTACTCCAAATATGTTTTCATAAGCTTTCATTACTAGCTATTTTAAATTATGAACGTTTTTCGGTTTTTCAATATTGATGGCTTTTATTGAATTAAACCATATTTAAAAATTCTTCGTTGTACAAATACTGACTAAATTAAATTCCCTAAACTTAGTTAAAATAACAATTAAAAGTTAAAATTAGTGTTTTCAATTTTAGGGTATTTCATCTGCAATAATATGTTTTACATCATCGCATAAGATTATCGTATAAAAATAATTAATAAATGAGAAAATTGATATTGGATACAGGTTTGAGAAACTCTGGTAAATTTTTTTTTCTCTGCCATACTGTTTTTATTACTCGTATTCAATTAAGTTATTTACATTTTTACATTAGCCTTCATTGGTTTAAAGGTAAAACCCACTAAGCAGCATTTTCAAGTTTTTGAGAAAATTGATTTTTAAAGTTGCAAAATCAGGAAATTCATTTAATTATCCGGGTCTGAATTTTAAAGTAAAAATTTTACTTAAGCTAAATTGGCATTTTGTGAATTTTATTTTTTAAGCTCTTCATTAAATTGCGCACTGTAAGTATTGAAAAAAAACTGAATTTCTATCGATATCAAAAATATTGTGTGGTTTTTATAAAACTGAATTGCGCCGGATAAATTAATTAAAAATTTAAATTTTACAATATTATTGTTAAGGTTTTTTTATATTTGTTCGTCCATATGAGTATGATTATGTCTGTATGTGAATATTAACATATAACAAAATTCCTTTGTTTGATTTCATAAAAATTTTGCATGCAATTTTAATTCTTTCTAAGTATTTTTTACATTTATGCATATTTTCTGTATTATGCAAGAATATGAAATGCATAATATGTATAATACTATGTTTGTATATCTAAAAATTGTAAATGTACAAACAACAAAAAGAGTTATAAAGGTAAACTTAAATGAATTCTGTAATATTGTGGTTCATTCTAAGTATTTTAACATTGGATTTAGCGAAGTTAAATTATTTTTTCACTTAAAATAACTTTTGGCTTGTTCTTAAGAATATAATAACATTAATTTTTTGAAAAAAGTAATTTGTGAAGCTTTTTTTGTTTTAAAGGTAATAATTATTATAAAAATTTGTTTTAAAAGTTATGCATTTAGTGTCTATATATTAATGGATAAGAATCAAATAGTTTGTGTTGAAATAAACTTGTTTTAAGTCTTCTTTTTTCAACAAAGTTATGGAACTTATACTCGTAAGTTTCCTTAAAAATCCATTTTATTTTAGTAATTTTAGTTCAAATAATATCAGTCTATTACTGAAAACCTTAAAGCTTTTTAGTATGTTGAGTAATTCTTCATTTTAATAACGTTAAAGTAAGTGATAATAGACGAGCAACAGAACTTACTTAATTTTATGCGAGAAACACTGCAACAAAAAAAAATTTGATGTGGTCAGCACATAACCGACCGCATTGTGTATTGTCCAGTTAAGTGAAAGTGTTACGGAATATTATAAAAATGTCTGTTAAATACTTTGGCTCTTTGTAGAGTTTCGCTTTGTGCTACCTGAATTCTCTGAAATACTCGCTAGTTATTTTCGGTAACAACCTAAACTCAAATATCAAATTTCAACAAATTCCATCAATTCGTTTCGTAGATATTGTGAAAAATGTAAAATCAGTTTTAAAATCAGGGTCCGCAAATCAGTTTTCGAGTCCTGAGCTTTCCAAAAAATTTATATGTACATTGTTTTAATACGAGGAATTCAAATATTAAATTTCAATGAAATCGGTTGATTATTTCTCTTTATATACACAAAATGTATATTTGGCCGTAGTAAACGTCCAGTTGCTGACGCCTGATTTCTTCCAAAAATTTTTGGGGACGGTCGAGTAAAGCTCATATATGAAATTTCAAGTAAATCGGCTGAATATTTTCTTCAAACTAGTCAAAAATGTAAAACAGGCCCGCCAAAAAATGCAGTTCCCGAGGCCTGATATATCCCAAAAGTTGATCAATCCGTGCCACGGTTGAAATAAACTTACATATTATAAAATTTCATAAAAATCGGTTTAGCCGAACTTGAGATACACGCGTGCACACACATACCGGCAGACCGACAGGTTGCTAAAAATAGTTTATTTACACTTCCCTACTATGGAGAAGTGCATTCCCATCGAAAATTCGATATGCAAAATTTGTTGCCATCACATAACGTACCTATTGTATACACAATACGCTGGGTAAAAATACATGCATTCTCACATTTAAATGGTTTCCTTTTTTTTTAAATTTTATATATGAATTTTACTTTTCCTTGATGTTAAAAATATACAAAAATTTTGTGATATTCCTGCAAAAAAACAATTCGTCAATTAAAAAGAGTAAATCTTGATTAACAAAATTGAAATTAATTTCTAAATTTGGGTATGCATATAAAGTTTTTTTTCTACCGACCGTATTGTGTATACAATAATTTTGGATATCGAGTTTTCGGTGGGAATGAGTTCTGGTTGTTACTGAAACAAACTGGCGAGCATTTCAGGGAATTCGGGTAGCACAAAGCGAAACTCTACTAAGAGCCAAATTTACATTTTTCTAGGTATGTTAACTATAAGCTTACTAATGTCCTAAAAATTGGATAGAAGTATTTAACAGACATTTTTATAATATTCTGTAAACTTTCACTTAACTAGAAAATACACATTGCGGTCGGTTATGTGCTGACCACATCCGATTTTTTATGTTTTGTGTGCAGCACGCACGCTTTACGAAATCCACGATATTATTCAAAAATATTTCATATTACTGTATTACTGTTACTATTGTAAAATTTGGCTAGCATGATTATTACTCAAACTAGAAAGGTACTAGATTTGCTCCATTACGAAATGCAAATGACTTTTTCAATTTAATAAAAATATTTATTTGCAAATAAATTCCTTTAAAACTCATTTTTGATTCATTTTCGTAATTTTTTTTGGAATATTGGTTTTTCTACACTCCAATTGTCTTAAAATAAAGTTTTCTGAAAAAAAAAAATAAATTTTTGAATTTTATTAAAAATAAAAATATTTTTTTCCATAAAAACGCGGAGAATTCCTAAAAGTAAATTTTAAAATTTTTATAAACTTTGCTTAATTTTCGATGGTATTTTAGTTTTAATTTTAGGTTCCATTCAGTTTCACGAAGAATAAATTTTGTAAGAAATTGAGCGGAGAAAGAAAAAAATTCTATAAAAGTTGATAAAATTTTAACTTTAAAATTTTAAAAGCCATTTTTTGTAAAAAATGTGCATTGTAAATCTAAATTTATAGTTTTCCTCACTAAGAACATTTAATTCCTTATTCTTAATAATTTTTTTACATAAATTTAAGGTATTTTATACGAAAACAAAAAATGATCCTTTAGCAGCAATTGGAAAATTTTTATTTGCTTTTTATAAATGTAAGTAGAAAAGTCGTAAAAGAAGTAGTAAAAAATTTCTTTATTCTTGTATAGAAAAACAAAATCTTCGTTGTACTCTTAAAGTTACGCACCATGAAGTAGAATTTTTTCATTTTAAATAAAATTCAGAAAAAAAAATTGAATCATTTTTTGGTAAAGTATTAAGTTATTTATGGGGAAAAAGAAGAAAAAAAAAAAGACAAATTTTATTTTGCGAAATTAAAGACGGCTAGCATGATTTTTTCATTTTGGAAAAACTTCGTTATTAGCTCAAATTTTTCTTTAAAATTAAAGAGACTTTATTTTTTTTTCGAAAATTTAAGTATAAAAAGGTGAAGAGAACGTTTTCAAAAAGTACTTGAGTTCTGGGTACGTCGTAAAAATTTCAATTTATTTAAGATGAAGCTAATTTTTTTAAAAAGAAAAATCCAAGTGGTTAAGGACCTACTTTGTTGGAATAAAGTGATTTTCTTAAAACTTTTTTATTTATTTATTTGAATTATTTTTAATAATTTTTATAAGAACAAACTTAGCTGAATTCCATTTATAACTGAAGAATTCTTTCATATTTCTAACTTTATAGTATTAATTTACATTTAATTTAGAGCTACAGCTGCAATTTTTCAGGAGTTTTGTAGGTGTTGTCCATACTGAGTAATTTTGCAGTTCCGTCGTCTCTCAAACAATTCCTGCTGAACATTTCATAGATCGCAATTTCATACAAGTTCATAAATTTTTCCCTTAATAATCTTCCATTAGTCATTTCTTTTGTAATAAAGAACGCAATAACCTTAAAATTTTTGCTGCGAAATAGCCTCAAATACTCTTGGCGATAGTGTTTTAAAGTTAAAAATTTTAACAAGTTGAATTTGGGTTATTGAAATGAAGTTATTGAAAGTTATTTAAAATCACTAGTCACTTGAGATTGACAATTATGGAATGCACCAAATATAATTCCAAATCGCTTGTGAAGGCTTAACCTGTAGACTCAAATTCCTCCTGCGTATTGCGTAAATAGAGTTAAATTTTTAAATACGAAAATGACATTATACCCTAGATGCAAATCATTGGCACGTGTGTCAGACTTGGAATACAGACGTTTCGAATTTTCTATGAATGCGCGAAGTTAAACATTTTCTTATTTTCATTCTAGTTATTCAAAAATATTTAGGGAAAAAAATTTAAAAAGTTAAAAAATTTTTATGTATTAATTTTTAGAAAAAAATATTTTAGTTTGTGCATCACTTGAATTTGTTTTAATAAAAGCCTAAATTTTTTACAATAATGTAAGAGTTGGTGTAGTAATGCAGTTTATTTCAGGCTTCGTACAAAATTCAATTATGTTTTTTCTTTTTATACCGTACACCTTCGTAAAAGCTATATTAACTTTGGTATGGAATTTGTAAATATATTCTTGCTCAGCGTAAAATTTTGCGTTGCTTTAGACATGTCCGTCCGTCCGATCGCACGATAATTCAAAGACGTATAATGCAATCGAAACAAAACTTTCACAAGTTGTTTCTTTTGTGCCAAGGACGAACCCTTGTAACTGGACCAATTATAGGCTAACGCCATACAACTCAAAGAGTTTATTTTAAATATTTCAAAAACTAATAAAGGTATAAATATGAAATTTTCTATATGTGTGTCCAATTACATTCTACATATGCTCTAAACATTTTAATGGGATGGCTGTACAGGTTCGGGTGACTGCCATTAAACTCCAAAAGCCAATTTTAAATATTTGAAAAATAATAAAGCCAGGTTGAGATGGTGTGTCAAAATTATAGGTCAGACATGTCTGTGAAGTTTCTATAAAATGGTTTCGTAGATTCAATTAATTGCTGTACTACAATTAAAGGTGCATTAAGGTATAATTCAATCGGTTTATACCGACTGAAACGTTGTTACTTGTTTTATTAACAGTTTTGTTTAGTATGAAGAGATCATGAATATATGTGTACCTATTTAAATTTTTGTTTCATGTTTATACTTACCATTTTCATAGTTGTTATAATGTTGACATAACTATAAGTTATAACAATAAGTGGTATCACAAGTCCAAATATGAATAAGAATACTATATAAGTGGTTGCATTAAAAGTTTTTGATTCCCAGTTCACAGAACAACTGAAATTTATAAAAAAATACAAATATTAGACCAATTGTCGTTACTTTTAAAGAATTCAGCAAAACAAAAACATACAATAAATAATGCAAATTAAATTCAAGTTGATGTACCAACTGTTGGTACAAAAATATTCAAAATTATAGAAAAACTACATAGAAAAGGACGAAATGATTTAATTAAACCGTATGTCATAAAAAAATATGGTTAATCTCTTTGACAAATTGGGATGAAAATTTCATATGAATGAAACATTTTATTTTCAAGAGGGTCTTACTGGTAGAATTTATTAACTTTTTATGCCACTGAAGTTTTCTGTAATTTATTTTGTTTCTTGGTTCACTCACTTTGTGTCAAAATTTTAATGCTGCGCAATAATTACATATCTAAAATACACCCAAAATTATATTCTTGATCAGCTGAAAAATTCGGAGTCAATTAAATTGTCCCAGCAATTACTCAAGAGTGCATTAGGTTTAAGTGCATTATATAAATTTTTTTACAAATTATTAAAAATAATTAAGTTGATTTCGTAAAACCAAAAATCTAGGCCACAGTTGGAAACTTTCAAATTAAAAGTTTAATAAAAGGTCTAATAAGCTCTTCGAAAAAGTAATAGCTCATACACAAGTAACGAAAAGCATTTGGACAGAGATAGCAAATTGAATATGTTTAACTACAATTTTTTGTCATTTTTTGGTAGATAATTAGAAAGAAATTAGTCTCCGGAACTTTGCTTCAGCAAATTTCTATGGAACAAATTTGCCTAATCAGTAATTAAATCACTTCAAATTCGAGTTCTTTAATGAGCCCTTAGATAGTTTTTAATAAGTAACTCGTCTCAGTTTCTCATTGGACTCAAGTCTTAAAACAAAAAATTTGTAATACATTTAAAACCATTCATTAAGTATTTGCTATACAGGATACCAGTATTAAAAAGTTTATTAGTTTACCATTTTCAATTTTATAATTTGCAAAAACTTAAAGAATAAAAACTACATATTTTGCTCATCTTATGAACTATTAAATTCAATCACTAACATCTAATAAAACGACATTTTTAGTTTAGAATTTTCAAAGACCCTACAATAACTAACGTAAAATGGTAAGAAAATAAAATATATTTTATTAATGATGACTCTGGGAATAAAACTATAATAAATCTTTCTTAATCTCCAGGAAATATTTTCTTTCATTAAATTGTAAAGCTTTAAATTCTTTTTTTTATAAAAAAATATTACAATAATTTTTAAATATTTTCAGCACAAGACATAGTAGTATTTTTTAGAACAAAAAAAAGTTTACTGATACTCCCCCGTTTTCATAGAAGTTTTATGAAGTTAATGAAAATTAGCAAACCTTTGAGGTAGTAATTCGAGAACTAAAAGAGGACAGAAGGCTGTAAAACTTAAATTTACTTTAAGAGGCCAATAACTCTGTACATTAAAGAAAAGTAAATTTAAAATTACAATGATTAACTTGAAAATTTCACTGGGCACCTTGATCCTGATCTTTATTTAAAGAAGTTCTCGATTTAACTCCACTTACTGAATTTATAAAACAGCTTTTGCCAATTGTCAAGGTTTTAGTATTCTTGAAGCTAAAGAATTCATACTTGAAGAATTAAAAACCAAATTTAAAAATCTTTAAAAACAATTGTAAGATCAAGAAGAAAACGATAGGGCAGAAAAAACAGGGTAAAAATAATAAGCAGATTCTCCAATTTTCAAGTTGGAAATATTTGGAAATTTATAATAATTTTTCTTTTATTATATAAAGTGTAAAAGGTTTTTTCCCTATTTCGTTTAGAGCGTGAAATATTTTTATTGTTGCATTTGAAAGAGATGCACAATTATTGTAATATTGTAGAAGAAAGTGTGTATTATTAAAGAACCTATTATTAAGTCTTGGATTTTTTTTTTAATTTTAAAAAATCACAAAAAAAAAGTCGAATTTGTTAAAAGCCATAAATAATAAAAATCAATTGAATTGAAAAATTTTCCATAAATACAAGTGTACGAGTATTCCTTGCAAGAAAGAATAATGTGAAAATTCATAATGTTCTGAGACTTATGTTAGGAGACCTATTAATACAATAGTAATTTCTTAGCAAAAAGAAAAACTTTTTAAATTATTTTCTCTTACTTCAAGATTTGAATTTTTAAATTCTTTAATTTTATTAAAATACATAAAAATGCATGTGGAATTAAAAGTTTTGTATTTGGGTTATTTGCATGCATTGTACAATTTGTTTTTAAGGGAAAGCTGGAGCCAATACCAATTAAATGTTGCAGTTTAAATAATAAAATAATTTTAAGAAGAGTTCTAATTGGATATACAGTTGATATTGTTTTTTTTAATATTTTGTGAACTTGTTATTGCTTTGAAGCTCAAGAATCAATTTTCAATTAAGAATCAAATCTCAATAAGCCGTTTGATGAAAACCATGACTGCAACGAAAGATTGGGATCACTTTTACAAAAAACAAACTGTGCTCAAAAATGGTGACCACATGCTTCTTTTGAGAGAGGAATATCAGTAAAGCTGGCGTATTGCAAATTCAAATAAAGTTATTGTCCCATCAAAACGTATCCTTATTGAATTTCATATGAACTGAACTGAAGGTCTTGCAAATTCTTTAAAGTGTATTTTTAATTAATAACAACAATCTTTTGTCAAAAATGAAAATAATTATTTTAAAATTTTTCTTAAATAAATTTGAATAATTCAAGAAATTATTTTTGAAAAAAAATTATTAAATTTAAATAAATCTTTTATTTTTTGTTTAAAAATAAAAGGGATATGAGAACTTAACACAATTCTTAAAATATTCCTGAAAGAAGTAAAGTTTAATTCAATTTCAAAAAGTTTTGTAATTTTTCATTGGATTCTAAAAAGTGTTGTACATTTTGTGAGCATAAAATAAACATAAGACGTAAAGAAAAGTTTATTTTCTTTTCCTATAGTTCGAATAAACTATTTCAGGTCATAAGAAAATTAAAAGGACACTTTTAAAACTTCGATAACTTTTTCCTTTTTTTCCCCTTTTATTTATAAAAACTATTAAAGTATTTATCGATGAAGTTCTTGTATTTTCAATTTACTGTATAGCAGTCTTTAAAATAAAAGTTCCAGGTTTATAGATTAAGAGTGTTATAAAAATTGTCCTAGTTAAAGTTGTACAAGTAATTCACACAATTTTATTTGTGACAAATATAAAAAGAACGATAAAAAATTGTTATAGTCAACGCTTAATCTTAAATAAGCAACATTTCTTATATAACTAATTTATTTATTATTTACACTTTTAAAAATAATGGAAAGTGAGGAAATTTAAAGGAATTTAAAGGAATCGACCATGAATTCAGTAGGTGATTATGTTCTGGAAAGAAGGTTCAATAACTTGAAAATGAATTTATGCAAGGAAATAGAAGTTTCAAATTAGAAAAACTTTTCTTAGACTGCATAACTTTCCTCAATAATTCTGTTTTCAAACTTATGCGTCGTGTATTAAAAAATATATGAGCGAGAAAATATAGAATTTATCCCGTCAAAACTGTGCCATTTCCATATGATAATTTTAAATAATTCACACCATCGTAATATACTTTTGTCAGAACAGAAACTCTTTATCTAAAAGGAGCAATTCTACAATACTTTTATTCAATGCAATCGAATTGTAGCTTGATCGTGACATATATATACATAGTTCAATTATTATAACAGCTACGATTAAAATGCAACAACGTAAACTGTGCTCTCAATTGAATACGCGTTTCGAGCGATTAATTATATTAATAGGTTAAATGTATATCAATGTGTTTTTGAATTACCACTTGGAAAGGCAGGACAAAGAACAATTAAATCTAAATAATTCCAAGTCAATTCTCATATAACATTATGATCTTACACACTTATCCTTTCACTTATATTAGGAAAAAACAATAAATGGCTGTTCGACTGTTGTCAACTATTTGCAATACTAAGAAATACTAATCTCAGATATAGAGCATATTTATTTTTGTTTAAAGTCGGGTTCATCTGTCCCAGTAATAAGTAAAAAATTCATTAAGCTTAGGAGGCTTTCGTTTATGCACGCTGCGCTGAAAGTTCTTCATTAGAACTAAGATTTCTAAGTTGTACCGTTAAACAGTATGCAAAAGCTTTTTTTGTTTACGCAGTCTACAAATTCTGAAACTTCTAGATAATCTGTCGTTCGAAAATAACAGAAATAACACTGTTTATGAAATTATATGCCAATACTTTTCGCCTACCAATTCACTGCAAAATAAGGAAATTTTAACAAGATTTGAAAACTTAAAAAAAACTTACTTTAGCAACCTCTTCAATTTCTGATTCTGCCATTTTGAAATTTAAATTTTTTTTTGAATTTTACATTGAAAAAGAAAAAAAATTTCAGGAAACAAAGACAAAATTTATACTAGAGCTCTGCGCTACATTTCTTTATTGTAGATTGAATTTCCAAACGCACTTCATTGCAGTCAGTATTTTCCGAATGATCTACATTTTTAGTGTGTGTAGCGGGAATTTTCGAACGTACTACAAGTTAGAACTATTCTAGAACTGAATAAATGAAAACACTCCTAGCTTGCTAAATATCATAAGGTGCTTTGACGTTGCTGTAACAAAGTGTTAGGGAATGATCAAAGTAGCTGTTTGAATAGCTTCCATATATACTGTTAACATAGAGACTTTAAAGCTTCACCGAACCCATTAAAAAACAGATTCGTCATTCCTCGAAAAAGCCTGTAATAGTCAAATTTTATTTAAAAAAATTTAGCGACTAAATCTTTTTCCTTGTACAAGTTCTTTCAATAATCGCTTCGACAACTTCATAAACGTTTTCATTTTATCACAATGATCAAATTTTAAAAAATAATTATAATACCACCCCTATTCCAAAACAAATTTCCTTATTGTTCTAAAAAATCTTACATTGTCTGCCATACAATTTAAAAAATAACTTTGTCACATCCTTAAGTCAAGTGAACACATAAAGCTCAAATTTATATGAAAAAATTAAATAAAAGAACTTCTAGGAGCAGTTTTATAAGGGATCACTTCTATCAGCCGCTATATAACTTCTTAGAACATATTAGTAAGAGTGCCATAAAGTTGACACGATCAACTCATATGTGATTTAAAATTAAACGTATATTTAGTATTGGAATTTAATTTTTAAAAATAACCATTTCAGGTCATAATATGAAAATGTTATTCAAATGAATTCTTACCAATTTGTAGTGGAGCATTTAAAATATTGAAATTTATTTTTTTTTCGAAAAGAAAATAAACCTTAATTTATTTTGATTTAAAATAAGTTTATAAGATATTTTATTTTTAAATTCAAAGAATAAAGAACCCCCCCCCCCCTTTATATTTAAAACAAATTGTTTAATGTTTTTATAGTGCTAAAATTGAGGCAAACTTAAAATTTTTGAAATTTAATATTTCTATTAAAAATAATTTAAACTTTTAATTTAAAATTGCCGGAAACAAAGTTGCGTTTATCAAAATAAAAATCAGTTTCTCTTGAAATTACCATATTTTTATTAAAGAATTTTTCGGATAAAGAAGTTTTACAAAACCAAATAAAATTTAAAAAATATTTTTATTATAAATATCAGGCTTCATAATACAATTGGACCTTGCGATTTATAACAAATTTAAAAAACCAATTTCATTGTACAAGCTTTATGAAGGTGAAGCATTTTAATAGTGCAAAAAATTTAAAAAAATAGTATTTTTTAAAATTGTTGCTTATGGCCTTGGTTCTATACTATATTCTGCTCCACAGAGGAATCAGATATTTATAAAAATATTTTGAATATAAAAATAAATCTTAATACACATTTTTTTATAATTTTAAAGTATGTGTATAGAAAGTAATCACATTAATTAATTGGACCTTCGATTCGTTTAATGAAATTCATTATTTTTATGGAATTTTATTACCCTCCTATTTGAAATCGATTTTTCAATTGAACTTCAAATATTTAAACGCTTATTTAATTTTTCTTTTAAATAATTTAGACAGAACCTTCATGTGATTTCAAAAACTAAATTAAGTCTATTCATTCAAAGGAAAATCTATATTAATTTAATGCGAATTCAAATCGTTTTAAAGCAATAAATTTTCTAAATTATAGAACTATGTATAGTTACAGTTCTAGATTAAGTAACGTGCAGTATTTTATAGTATATACAATTGTTTAGAGATTAAAAAGTGAATAAAACTTTTGTTCAGAAGTTGGTGTCAAAGCTCGAATTTTGAATGAGTTTTTATTTGCGAAGAAATTTTTTTTGAAAGAGCTTGCTGATGCCTTTAAGATATTGAGTAATGATTTAATTTTCTACTCATTCTGGCCACATTAAATTTGGGAATGAAAAATTTGTTTTTGTCCCCATAATCTTACTTCTTCAAAATTTTTAATACATGTGATTCCGAAATTTCGAGGAGTAGCAAAATAAGTCATGCCCTGTCAAATTAAGTTAAAGAAAAAGATAGAAAGAAGGCCTTATGTAATTGAATTATAGAACCAAAAAAAGGTTCAATAGAAACATGAACATATGTAAAATGCCAATTCTTTATAAGTTTTAGAAAAAAAAATCTTTGCCCCCTCACGTTTATAATTAACTGGCAAGCAGTTAGACAAGGACGCCGTTCTAACTGAATGGAAATGGTTGAAATGAGATTTATTATTTTGAGGAACAATCAACATGCAGTCAACATTTACTTGTAAATAATAGTTAACATGAATTGTGGGCGTAAAGGAATCGGAATCCCAAAAAAATTTTTTTAGTACCTTATGATAAAACAAATGATCCAAAGGTAAAATATATTCAAATTGAAAATTCCATTATAAATAATAACATTATTATTTCTTAATTCCAAATTTTCATAAAATCAATATACCTTGGAGTCTTTTGAGATTTGATATCTAGTTAAAACAAGAATTTTTCCTATTTTCGATTTTCTACACGATAATATATAATTTTATACTAATTACTGAGACACCCTCCATAAATTTCAGGACTTTCAAAAATTATCATGTAGAGTAAGTCTTTGGTTAAAAATTTCTTTAAAGTTCATTATAATAGAATAATGTATTAAGATTATTTATTGCTTATCATAGAATTTTTTAATATTCTAATATGGAAAGAAAAATTTGTAGTTAATATTTCTTGCTAAATAGGTCAACCCTAACTATAGCTAAATATTTAAGCTACTTATTGTAAATATAACAACCAATTCTTTATCTTTCCTTTAAGAATCCTTTTTGAATTATTTCCTTCAAAAATTATTTCCAATATACATATATACACACACATGTAAATTAAATTAAAAACAAGATTTTAAGTGCCAGCCCTTGGAAGGATAATTTTTTTATGAAAATTAAAGTATAAAAATACTTAATTTTAACAAATTTAGATTTCTTCAAAAATAATTTTCTAACAAAATTTATTTTATTTAACATGTACATCTACATACATATTTACAGATATATACATATCATACCTAATATTAGCTGCTTCATGAACATATGCTCCCCATCCAAATAGTGGTGGTGTTGTTAGTGCTAAGGAATATGACCAAATAAAAATAATTCTTATCACAATACCTCGATTCTTTATTTTAGTTGCTCTCAATGGAAATTTAATTAAACAATAACGTTCATATGCTAATACTGTTAACGTTGTAATTGATGTAATACCTGTAATTACAACAGAAAAGAGAACATTGAGTAAATATTTCTTTGGTAAACTTTTCAAGGCACAAAATTTATAAGAATATATAAAGTAAAGGTGTACCATCAATATTATTTGACACTTTAGATAGGCAAAGATAAGATTTGAGTAAGCTTTCGTTAATTAAAAGTTTTCCTTTCTTTTCAAATAAGGGTAAACGTTCCTATGAAGTTTTCCACTTTTTTCATGTCCTTATTGAAAGGATAATTTTATTTGTAAAAGATTAAATTTCAACCATATTCAAGAAGTGGAGAAAAAATTTATTGAACCGTTAAAGTTACAAAAGCTTTAAAAGTAATTAAAAAAATAAGTTTGAGGTAAAATTTAAGTGGTTTTTTTCCTCAAAGGTGTCGAATTGTCGCAATTTAAAAAAAAAAGTTTTTATTTGACATTACAGATTGATTGTTTAAATTGTTTAATAATTACCAATCTGGTACTTAATAATTGGATTCTAATCGGATTTTGTTCACAGAAAATTTTTTATATACTATTGAAAAGTCAACAGGTTTCAGTTCAGTTTAGTTCTATTTTGTAGTTCAGAGAGTTTTCATATGAAAGTGGTTAATTTTGTCTCATTGTATCTAGCATTGTATTGCGAAATTTCCGATTAAAAGTTATTTCGAATTCTCAGAACAATGTACATTTCCCAAGAAATTTATCAAAAATTTACAAGAACAGTATCGCTTGATAAATTCTACGAAAAATTATGTTCCGTATTGAATTGATGCTGTAAATTTCAAACCATTTTAATTGTTCCAATTATTAACGTTTTTAAAAAATTTGTTTTTAGGACTTTTCAAAAAAAAAACAAGTTTTTGAAAAAAACTGCTTATTTATTTCACTCTGTTCGTCCGTTTTTCCTTCCGTGAACATGTTTGCAAAAACTTTACTCCTTTGAAGATACAAAGCTGAAATTTCATATGTTCATGGATCTTTATTAGAAATTTATCTCCGTAGATGAAAATTTTTACTTATCTCCCCTCCCCTAAAAGTTATAGCCCCACAAAACTCTAAAATGCCATTTTTCAAACTATTTATTATAGCGAAGCGAATTTTTTTTCAATTTATGTAAACGCAGAAAAATAGTGCCTTGTTTCTTCTACTTTTAGACACTAATAAATAGTTCATTTCGTTAGAAGAAAATCTTTTTCCACCTCAAATGCAGGTTAAATTTCCGAAACCGCAAGCTTTTCCATATTTCTATAAAAACAGAGAGCTAATAGTAAATGCCATCCTATTAACCCTTACACAATTAACCCTTAAATTCGAGCATTATGTTAACGCCTCTTCCCAATTTAGTTTTGGTTTATTTCAAAGACTAAATACATTTCTCATCCCAAAAGTATGCAATTTTTGAAATAATAGACGAATATATTTTATCGAAAATACGATATAATATAAAGTAGCTACTCTATGAATATAAGTATTAAAATTAATTAAAGAAAAGTAGTGCCGGGCTTTTTCTACCTCTGCATACCATATTCGGACTTTACGAAAACAAAATGGGTGTTAAAGTTTACCGTTATCTAAATTCCGTTTTTTACAAATTTTTGATATCTTTTGTTTTACGCCTCAGGTATTCTGAAATTTTACTAGCTCCTAGTTATATGTAGTTCATTTTTATTACATAAGAAAATTTTTTTCGACTTCAACCATCTCTCTAGTTATCGCCGCTTAAAATTTATAAAATTTAAATTTTTGGCACCATATACGGGGTGATTCAGAAAGTTATACAACAACACATATCATTGATTAGAAGATCGAAAATGGGTAAAACTTTTATTCCAGACTGGTTGCCAAATCTCAACTGTTTCCGAGTTCCAGGGGTTTTAACGAATTTTCACGAAATTTTTACTTGTTCAAGGTTTTTGGATTATAGCTTCCATTCTCAAAAAAATAGGAACTTCAAACAAACAGTTTCTGAAAGACCTTGTAAAGGGCTTAAAATAAATATGCTGCTTGGTTTTGTATTTTATGTACCTTGCATTCGAACTTTATGGAAAATCAAATTTTTCCCTTGTTTTATTTTTTCAGTTTTTACTAACTCGTTAATTTCGCAAGAAATTTTTTAAAACCTTGAATTTTTTTTTATAGAATTTTTCCAAGCGGTTTAAACATTAATTTAAGTCCTAAGATATTATTCATAAGAATTTATTATTTAAGTCCTTCTAATTAATAAGAACTCCTTATTCAAAAATTTTGCAAATTTCTCAAAACAAACACCAAATTTTGCTATGAAATTCACCTAATTCGGCAAAAATTTATGTTATGTTGAAATTATTTGCTCACCAATTTAAGTTTGTGTAGAAATTTGTTTCAAATTTATTAATCGCATTAAATTATTTATTAATTATTTATTAACTTCAAAATATTAATACCATGTCATTTACAAACTCCATTTAAATTTTCCTATTTAAAAAAATTTTTTTCTTTTACAATAAATGTCAAAATTTATATGGCATGCTTTTAAAAATTCGCTCCAGCAGGATAATTTTAATAACTTCAGATGCCAAATGGTGTCCAGATTCCGAAAATATTTTTTTCAAATTTTTAAATTGCACTCAATCTGAGAAAAATGCATTTAAAAATCTCAAACCATATAGGTACCATTTCTTATAAAAATTGGCAAAAATAAAAAACCTATCAATTTTCTTTACCAAGAAAAGCTTCGAAAAAAATTTTTTGATTACTAGATTTTTTTTTATTTTTCGTAATACAAAATTCTAGTTTTTCTTTTCAAAAATTTCAAATTTTTATAAATCAATTTTTGTTTTTCAAATTAAAAGTTTGTATAAAATTTCGTTTCAATTTTGTTATTATTTGTTACAAAACGGCTCTTCAAAATGTCAACTGTATTTTCGAGTTTAAAATCTTGATATAGAAATGGTTTTTGTGCTACATCTCCTCTAACATAAAAAATTTTTTAATGTTTGACAACTTAAATTAAAGCTTAAGCAACTGGGCAAAATTCTATAAAAAAAAAAATTTCAAGGTTTCAAAAAATTCTTACAAAATTATCTAGCTAAAACACTGACAAAATCAAGGGAAAATTTTTATTTTCTTTAAAGTTCGAATGTTTGGTATTCCGAAGGTACATAAAATTTAGAATCAAGCAGCATTTCTATTTTAAGTCCTTTACTAGGCCTTTCTAAAACTGTTTGTTTGAAATTCCTATCTTTTTCAGCACCGAAGTTATAATCAAAAAAACCAGGATAAGAAAAAATTTCGTGAAATTTATTTATCTATACAAAATATTCGAGTGATATAACATAAGTAGATTTATCTATTATATCTACTATATAAAATAATAATTTAGGTTAACTGACCTTAGATTTCATTTCATTTTATAGAATTAAAAAAATGTTGTTATTTTTATCATTAAAATCCTAAAACTTATTATAACAAAAATATGTAAAATTTTCTAAAGAAAACAATAATGAATTATAATTAAAATGAGGCTTTCCATAAGTATTTTCATAATTTCAATGTGGCTATATTCAAATTCTTGCTATCAAATAATTCTTTTCGTAGGCATTCAACAACTCATATAACAAGTAAATCTTATTTATGTTAAATATCAGTTTAATATGCAAACAATGTAACAAAATATGACTAACACATTGTACGAAAAGGGTTCCCATTATAAATTTCTAAAATATTCTGTGCAATTGTTGATGCTAGTATATGGTTAGACATGACACACATTAGATAAATTTTAATCTTAAAACTAAAAATTGTTTAAATTGGTGATGAAAAGAAATGGCACTTAATGTGTGTAAAGTATTGTTGTAAAGTACAAATGTATAAATTATGTATATAATATGTGTGTATATATATGTATTTGAATATAGAGGAATGTTTTAAGTAATAAGATTCTTAGAAATTCAAAGTTTTTACTTGTTCATTTCCATGTACATTAGAAAAATGGTATTTTTAGATGAACGCTCTTAAATGCAAAAAAGGAAGTTTTCTTTAAAGCATGAATAAAAAATTGGTTTTTTAAGGTGGATCATTATGTTAATAATCATAATTGATTTAAGAACTTATTATCTAATTTTGCGATATGAAATTAAATTCATAGCCATATTTTTAAAAGTTTTATAACCTTTGTTCAAAAATACAATTAAAACTGTTCATTAAATGCACTCAAATTCATTTTTAATGCCTTCATATTATGTAAAATTAACATCTAATTTGTGAAAGTGTAGCGCAATCGAATGAATTCATGGAGGAATCAATTTTAATTCACACAAATACTTGTCCTACTTTTGATCTTGAAAATACTTTATACATTTTTCACAATTTATTGCATACTTTCTGGCGAAGGAAATCTTGTACCTAAACAGGTTATATGCAAAATATTTTAAAATCTATAGTATTTTAGCAATTAAAAAATTCAATAATGAAATTGTTATAAATTATGAGCAACTGTTTATTTCTACAAACAATATATTGTTATATTTCGGATGATCATTAATTTTAACAAACTCTATTAAGACTCTCGTTTCTTTACACTTTCGTATTACTAACTTTTCCTTTGAGGAATAATATGTTTTGTGTTTATTTTTTGTATTGTTAAAATGCTACGTTAGTGTTATATGAAATAAATGTGATAGGATCAAGATAAAGACTTCTACTTACACACACATGCTTCAACATAAATGCATGCTTTCAAATGCATATATGCATATGATATGTACACATAATATAACATAAATAAATTCTTGCAGAAATTTTCAGTTAAATAAAATATTATTTTTTTAGTATTCTTGTGTAATTTTTAGCACTTTTTCAAAAAAATTTTTAAAACAAGTTAGTTATTATTAGTTTCACTCTGTCCTTCCATCTGTTTACAAAACTTTTACATGAAGATAGAAAGATGAAATTTTATATACATAGATCCTTACTAAAAACTTACTTCAGTGGAAGAAAAGTTTTACCTATGTAAAAGTTGTACCCCCCAAAA